CCTGGCGCGTGGGGGGGAGCTGGGGGGTGGGGGGGCCTGCCGTGGGTGCCTCCCTGGCAGCGGGAGCCCCAGCGGGCAGCCCGGAGCAGGTCGGGGGAGCCGCTTTGGCCCCCAGCCCAGCCGGGTGTCTCCCTTCCCGGCTCACCTGCGAGGCGATCTGTTGGAAGTACTGCTCGAGGGGGAAAAGGTGCCATCCTTCCTCGAGCTTCAGGCTCTGGGGTCTGTAGAAGAACGGGTACATCATCATCACGGAGTCCACCGAGGAGAGAGCCTGGAGCGGGAGCAAAGGTGGAGCTGGGTCACGGGTGGGGAGCACAGAGGTGGCTGGGAATGTCCCCACCGTGTCCCCCAAGACCCTGCAAACCCCATTCCCCTTCCCTGCTCCTGGCCACGTCCCAGCCGCCAGCGAGGGCTGGGCAGGCCGGCGCTGGCACCACCAGCCCCGCGGGCACCCGGTGCCAAGGCTGTCCGGGAGCTGCGTGTTTACACACCTTAATGACCGACCGAGAGCAAACACTGCAGGCGGCCGCTTTCTCCTGCCGACCCTTTGCACCCCGGCACGGCTTTGGCCGGGCTCGCCGGCAGCTCACCTCGATGGAGCTGGCGATGTTGAGACACTCCTCCATGCCAGGGATCTCCAGCTGCAGTACCTTCAGGTCTTTGCACCGGAGCGTGATGGTGCCGGAGGAGCCGGCAAGCCTGGGGGAGGCAGGAGGAGGGTCAGGGCTGGCCGTGGGTCCGTGGACACAGATGGACACACAGACAGACACGTGACAGAGCTGCCCTCTCCCCCTGGGACAGCCGAGCGGGGCGAAGCGGGAGGGCTGTGTGCTGGTGTGGGTGCCGAAATGCTGGTTCTCATCTGGCACCGGTGGCAAGCCGGGATTTCCAACATCTCCCTGTCCTGGCCGGGGCCGGTGGGCGCCGCAGTGGTTAGCTCAAAGCCGGGCGCTGCCGGGCGGGTTAGCAGAGCCAAGAGAGTGTTAAAAGCCAAACCTGGTGTCTCGCAGGGAGCCGTTAGTCCTGGGGGGCTGGTACCAGCCTAAATTCTGCACTCTGAGGCATGGAGGAGAAGAGGAGGTCAATGCGGGGTGCCGTGAGCATCCCCGGCGTGGGCCGTGGGGAAGAGGAGGGATGAGGCAGCACCGTGCGGCGGCTGTGCTCTGCCGTGGGCACTGGGAGAGCAGCGGGGAATCTCCTCCGGCAAAGGCAGGGGTGACACCGGTAGAAGGGCGCATGGGGCCGGCCATGGGGAGAGACCCACCTCTTCTCCACGGCGTCCACGTTGCGGATGAGCAGCCAGAGCTCCACAGTGCCGGTGCCGGGCTGGGCGTCCCCCCCGGGACATGAAGAGTGGAGCAGTTGGTGGCTGGTGATGCACAGGGTGCCCTTCACCGCCGGCAGCCCCGCGCACGACAGCACCACGCTCTCCACCGTCGCCGTCTTGATCAGCTCCGAGAACTCCATGGTGGTGCTGGTGGCT